AGGCCCCTCCGTGCTGCTGAGGGGCTGAGCGAGGGTTCCGGGGCCCGTCCGGCGATGTCGGCCCGGCGCGGGAGGCGCTGAGGTGAGGCGGGCAGGTGCCGGGCCGCGGCAGGGCCTCCCCGGGCTCTGTGAGGGCCTCCCCGGGCTCTGTGAGGGTCCCCCCGGCCTTGGCTGCAGGTGCGCCTTGGGGACAGTGGGCAGAGCGGGGCTGGGCGATCGCGGCTGGAGGCCGGAGTGACCGTGGGGAAAGGTGGAGAGGAGCAGGGAGCAGGCTGTGGGACAAACAATGGCCATGAGAGGAAGCCTGCAGAGAAGAGCCTGAACGCAGGGAAATAGCAGCTAAAGGTGACCAAAGGAAAATTGTCATTAATAGGGTGAAAGGAGCTCTGTTGGAGCAACTGGAGAGGGTCCGCTGGAGGCCACAAAGATAATTTGGGGTCTGGAGCATCTCTCTGGTGAGGAGCTGAGCCTGTTTAGTCCAGAGAAGACTGATAGGATCTCATCAATGCATATAAATATTTCTAAAGGGTGTCAGGAGGATGGTACCAGACCCTTTGCATCAACAGGACACAGAGCAATGGCCATAAACTAAAACACAAGAAGTTCCAGCTCAACGTGAGGAAGAAATTCTTTAGACTGAGGGAGGCAGAGCACTGGAGAAGGCTTCCTAGAGGGGTCATGGAGTTTGTTGGAGACATTCCCAACCCCTCTGGAGGTATCCCTGTGTCCCCTGCTCTAGCTGATGGTGCCTTGACAGGGGGTTTGGACTGGGTGATCCACGGAGGTGCCTTCCAACTCCAGCAATTCTGTGAAAGCAGCTCAATCACTAAACACTGCCCTGGGGCCACCTTCAGCTTGTGCTGGGGTCTTCTGCCTCGTGTCACAGTGAAACAGCCCTGAGGAGCAGCAGAGGGGCTCCTGGTGGGGTGTTTGGGAGAGCCATGTGGGCACAGGGAAGTGTGGGAAGGGATATTGGTGCAGCCAGGGAAATGGAATCCCTCTACCAGGTTGAACTCATGCTAAGAGGAAAGTGTAGGAGTCGCCATGGGTGGGGAGCAAGCGTCCTGTCAAACTTTCCAGAGATGTTCTCTCTGGAAAGGGGATGTGCTGCCACTCCCAGAGTTAATTATTACCTGGCAGGTCAGAGGGGCTGGTGGTGGTGGTGTAGCCACCAGAGTTGCTGTTAGCAACTTAGGTGACTGTAACTCCTCCCATCAGAGGACATCCAGCTCTGCTTTACATTCTTGCTGCTGGGGACTTCCACAAATGTGCTCAGATTAAAAAAACAAACAAAACACAACAAACAAAACCAAAACTTGTGCTGGCAAGTAGAGGAGGGAATGAAGTTTTCCAGATCCTCAGTGCAGGCTGCTGATTTTAGGCCACTCAGCGTGGCAGACTTGGAGCTGTAGGCGTGCGAGGAGAGGAGGGACATGCATCAGAGTGCTGAGAAACTGCAGCTTAGACAGCAATTGGAGGAGTTCAGGCCCTGGAGGAATTTAGAGAGCTGCAGTCCTGGCACCTCAGTTCATCTGTCCTGGACCTCCCCCGTTTTCCTTCACAGGGGTGAAACATCTGGCTGCTGCGTGCAAGCTCATGGTGGCCTCCTTGGACACCAGCACAGTCTGATCTCGTCTCCCTTCCTAATCCCAGCTTCCTGTGAACCTGAGGGAGCAGTTCACATTTTGGGACTGCAGAGTTTGTAAATGCAGATAACCACAATGAGAGTCTGTGACCCAAATTTACAAACCTGCTCGCCCCAAACCAGAGCTATCAGCAATACCTTTCCCTGCTGTGAATGCACTCATCTCCAAAAGAGCTTAGAGCAGCAGAAAAAACTTGTGTTTCCTAAGCCAGTGTAGCAGGGCTGTGTATTTTTTTAAATGCTGAATTAAAATAAACAGTGCTGCGCTCAACAATCTGCCTGGCTGTGGTGTGGGGACAGTTCCTGTAACTCTGTGTGCCCTTGGGGTATCTTACATAGGTAGTTAAGGGCCTTGAGAGGAAAACTGTTGAGAGAGGAATGCAAAGCACAGATTGCCAAAGATCTGCCTTGTTCAGACCCTCTGCCCTGGCTTGCCTGGGTGACACTCAGCAGCTTCCCCTGAAGAAATAGGTCCCTTCATGCTGCAGCAAGGTACAGGGCAAATCCTTATTTTACAAAATAAACACAGAGTTGGAAGGAAGGATGTTTGGGAGGAAGCTGTGGCATCCCTGCTCAGCTGGACACGGGGCTGTCCCAGTGTCACTGCTGCAGGGCAGCTGATGATAATTCATGGCTTCTTTTCACTCTCCTGCCGGCTGCAGGGAGGTGCAGAAAGCCGTGAACACTGCCCAGGGGCTCTTCCAGAGGTGGACAGAGCTCTTGCAAGATCCCTCCATCGCCACAAGAGAAGAAATCGACTGGACCACTAATGAGCTCAGGAACAACCTGCGGAGCATCGAGTGGGACCTGGAAGACTTGGATGAAACCATTAATATCCTTTTTGTAGTTGCAGTTCTCAAGTTGTACTGAATAGCCAAGTCCTAATTACTCTGCAAAAATCAGGACTGTTTGGGATTGTATTTTGGATTCACATCAGCTTTTCTCAAATTGCAAATGAGAAATTAAGTTAAGGATTTTTGTTTCCCTTTTTGCAAGGTATATTCTAAGACGCTTTGTTCTAGAAAACCTATTGTGTTGTGTGAATCTGGATTTCTGTGGAGTCAATTTGTTCTCTAGGCTGGCTTCCAGAAATATTCCTTTTCCCTTGTGTTCCTCTGAGTGCTCCTGAAAACGCTGCGCAGCATCACAGAACCAAAAAAAAACCATGGAAAAGAGAAACCTTGCGCGTGCGCTGCACGGCACATTCCTGCCATGCCTCCTTTTCCATCCAGTGTGCTGTACTTTGCTAATCAGATTTTGGGAACAGGCACAACACAGTGGCACGCTCAGGGTTTGTGTGTCCATGTGTGTGTACCCAACACCGCTTCCGGGGACTCCTTGACTCGGTGCCCAGGCATTGTCGAGGCAAACCCGCGGAAATTCAACCTTGATGCCACGGAGCTGGGGATCCGCAAAGCCTTCATCACCAGCACACGGCAGGTGGTCAGGGTAAGGAACCTGCCCTTGGGCTCAGGGCCTGGGAAGGCGTAGGGGGCATTAGATGGTTAAAAAAGGAAAGCTTGGGGCTGTTCTGTGCTGGACTGGAGAGCAGAGAATAAACCTCCTACCTGCTGAGTCTCAGGCTTCCCCGTGCTTTCCCTCCTGGAGCTGCCCAGAAGGGTTTTGGGGTGCAGGTGCCCCATGGAATTCCCTCCTTTTTATGCTGCTGACCCTTGAACTCTTGACACAGCTGTGGCAACAGCGAGCTGGGAGCCTGTGGTAATGGGAGGAAGAGTGAAGACCCAGGTGCAATGTGGAGCCTCCCTTCAGGGCTGAGGGAAATTGTGAATGTCTGGTTTTCAGCAACAGGGAGACCACTTTGAACACTGACAGATGGTTAAAGCCTGGTGTCATTGACATGGTGACTTCAACCGCCTACCCCTGCAAAATAGTCCAAACAAACCACTGGATTTATTTTTAACTTGAGGAAGATTTTTTTTTTTTTTTTTTAGTTTAAGCTTACGCTTGAGAAGCAAAAAGAGGATTTTAACAACTTGGTGGTAACAAATAGAGAAGAAACATCTTTCCAAAAGCTTCAGTGCCTGGTAACAAACTACTGGTTAGGAAGTTTTCTGTCTATTAATAGTTACACTGAATTTCTGCTGCCCCTTATGGCTCTGATGTTCCTGCTCCACAGAATGCACTGGTGTGGCTGGCAGCAAGCCTGTTACCCTACCTGCAGTCCTGTGGTCTGGATACAGTTCCTAAGTCTTGCTGCCTGGGAACTGATCCCAAAACCACACTGGCCCCAGGTAGCAGGCATATGTTTGTTGCCTTGCCCTCGGTGTAGTCCACTCCCTAATGGGCAGGATCAGGCAAGCCTGCTCTCTGGTCCTCTTTTCCTGGCTGAAAAAATGCTGGCTAGTGGGTTTTAGAGCAGTGTCTCCCACTGGGAAATTAAATTTATAAGTGGCCCTGTGCAGCTGATTTCCAGTTCCCACAGAGGAATTAGTGATGCCCTGCAACCAGTGAGAATTAACCAGGAGGGATGTGGTCCTGCTCTTTGGTGATGTGTGGCACACCTCTGAACGGTAAAACACATGCATGAATGCTCTGATGGCAGCAGAACTCTGCTGGTGGATCAGCCTCTGCCGGATGACATTGACTACTTGCTAATTTATGAGAACTAGGTTATGTTACATTGTGATGGAGAGCTTTCTGTGGTTAGTGACCTTCTGCAGGAGCTCCACAGCAAAAATTAATTGGTAGGAGAGAAGAGATCTTCTCTGATACAGTCAGAGAAGATGGCCACAGAACAGGAAATCTACCTCATACTACAGAGTATTAAAGCAGATGCAGTTGGGAATAAATCACAGGAGGTTATAGGCTTCAGGGCCTTGACAAACACTTCCTTACATTCTGTCAGTGGGAACATGAGTTTATTATACAAATCAAAGTAGTTGTGGTTGTAGTGGAGCAAAATGAGTAGTAAATGAAGAATATTTTCAAAATATCCCAATGCTGTTGATTCCAGTATTAGTATAACAATGAAACTTTCTACAGTGTGTTTTCAGACTCTGAAAGAAAATATCCCTTCCCTCATTCCCCCTTGTGGAAGCCTTGGTGGGTGTAGACAGCCCTGTAGCACCTGAATCTGCCTGTCACCTCAAATCCAATGCTCACATGCTGCTTCTTTTGTTGAACAAACAGGACATGAAGGATCAGATGTCAAACTCTTCCATGCAAGCACTGGCTGAAAGAAAAAACAGGCAGGTGAGAACCAGAACCATGTACATCTGCTAAAGTGTATATCCTGTCTGGAGTCCATCCCCTTACAAACCTGTGGTGTGGGAAGGGGCTCACACGCTGCAGCCAAGCTGTGTTTGAGCCGTGTCCATTTGGCTGCTCTGGGAAAGCTGGTTCTCACAGGCACATTGCTGCCAGCCTCTCCCAAGCCTGTCACTCAGAGCAGTAAGTCAGCACTCACCATCTGTCTCTGTCTTCAGAGCTGGTTGTGTACAACTGTCAGCATTGCATCATGCCATGGAAAGGGAAATCTCCCTCCTCCTCCTCCTCCTCGAGGGGGGAACCAGCTCAGAATCCATGTCAATGAATGTAATCCTGCGCTCTGCTGGATTTAGGATCCAAGATGGTGCAATATCCTTTCATGCAGCTGCTTCTCGTAATAGCCATGTAAGAAGATGGAAGGAGCTCGAGGAGTCTCATGTTGTCTGCACTTGTAATCTAAGGAATAGAAATAGATGCAGCTTGTGCTCCTTCCTGGCTGATGGGGAGGCTGTAAGGAGATCCTGGAGCTGATTTCCAGACCCAATCCAGTAAACATGCTTCATACAGTTAATTGTCTGTACTGCATCAGCCTTACCACACGTGGCAAAACAACAAACTGAGAAGCACAGAGCTCATTCCTGAGCTTGTCACAGGGTTAATTGACGTGCTTGGGGAACACTCCCAGCAGCAAAGTCCCTGACACTCATGCTTAAACTAGTCTGTAGCTTTCCCTGCAATTTGCTGCTTTCTTTTGCATGAGGTTCCTGATAGCTGCAGGAGACCATATGGCCCAGCTCACACAGCGGCATCTGGTCAGGAAAACTGACTTCCCCTTGCTGCCTTCCTCTCCCTTCCCAGCCCCTCGCCTTCATTCCAGACTGCAAGTGCTGGGCTTTGTGTCTGAGGGGCTGGCTAGCAGTGACCTGACCCTCACAGCCCAGCCTGGCCAACAGGCCCTTTCTATTGAAGCTGCAGGCAAAGCTAGTGCACTGCATTAAATAAAAAGGAGCTGCCCTTGCCACAAACTGGAGGGATCAGGAGCTTGCTCAGTGTCTCAGGGGCAGACAAAGCCAGATGTCCTGCTGGCTTCTTCCTGCATGGTCAGTCTGTCAGCTTTCCTCACCCCTCCTTGAACCTTAAAAGTCAGATGAACCATAGAGACCATCTTGTTTGCAGCCTGACAGAGCAGCCTGGTCATTGTCTTGCTGTTCTTCACAAATACTCAGTCATTCCATCCTGCCCACAGCCAGGAGCTGCAGGATGGTCTCGTTACAAGTCAGCCTGGCTTTCACACTGGAAGGCAGAGTCCCTAACCCTTCCCTAGGATTGCAGCATTCAGTTTCTTACCTGCAGGTCATGTTTACTCTCCAGCTAGGGTTATTCCCCTTTCAGGAACCAGACATACTTGGCTGGAAAGACACATCTGTGCAGGCTTTGCACAAGTTTCTCTGTTCAGGTTGTAGGGCAGGCAGCGAGGGTAACTTTGTATGCTGGCAGCTGAAGAGCCTGGATTATAGAACATAAGCATACAGCACTGCTCTGGTTATATATTGCATTATTTTACTGTCAGCTCAACTAGTTAAGTACTTTATCCAGACCCTCTTAAGCCCCTGTCATTAGCAGCAGAGTGCTCAGTTGGAGCTGTACATCTGTTAACACAATATATCCGGACATTTCCCAGTTCACATGTCCTAGCACACAGTGCTGCCTCTTGAGCAGGCCTCTGCCAGCCCTTTGTGCTGTGCAGGCCTCCTGCATGCACTGTCAGTCGGCCACACTCCAGCTCTCCTGCTGCTGGAGAGGCATCTCTGCAATTCCAGGCTGCAGAGACTTCCCAGGCTGGCATTTTGGCTCTGTGTTGGTTTAGTTCATGACAGCACTTTGGCTGAGTAGCAGCAGAGCAGAAGGAAAGGGATGCTGTGTGCATGTCTACATGAGGGTTGCCTTGTGTGCCTTCCCACCTCACCCTGTAGACGGGTTGTGAGCAGACACAAGGGTGTTGCTAAGAGCTCTCTGCATCTGTTTAGGCACTCCTAGGAGAGAGTGGGAGTCAGAGTTGGAGCTCTGGACCTGACAAATACAGCCGTCTGGACCGGGAGCTGCAATTAGCAAATTCACATTTCATCGAGGAGCAGCAAGCTCAACAACAGGTAAGGCAGCTGGCATCACAGACTAAATAGCTTTGCTTGCCAAATGGGTGCCAGGGGGACTGGCTCCAGGAGCCTGACATTCCTCCTCTTTGCTTGTGGCATGTGTTTGTGCATGCATTTCCTGTGCAGGACAGCTTTGGGTGATCTGACACAAAGTTTTTAACCCTGGAGGCGTGGGGCTTCTGCTGCATTTAGGACGCGGTCGGAACAATCTGGAAGATGTAGCACACTAAGATTTAATAGTACAAGGATTGCTGAAATCCTTGGAAGAGTAGAAACACTGAAAAAAGAAAAGGGCCCGTTTGTCTTATGCAACTTCCCCTGGTTAAAAAATGTTTGGTGTTTGTGTGCATCTCCCATCAGAACAGGCTGGGAGCAGGAGCACGCGCCTGCTTCCTTTTCCTGCTTTTGTCACCGTGAGATTAGTGAGAAAGGCTGTGTGAGGGTTTGGGAGAACCCCTGGTGAGGCACTTCCCAGCTGCACTTCCCAGCTGACACGGGAGTTTGCCTGGAGAAGTGCCCAGGCCGGGCACAGACTGGAGAACTACAGGGCCTTGACACAGGCAGTGACTCTGAGGTGGCAAACTCTGCTAAAGCTCCTGACCCATGGTGCCACCTCGGCTTCCAGACACGTTTTACCTACTGACTCCAGGGAGATAAGTAGCTTCAGAAATAGGTAACTAGGGTAAAGCTAATCCTTAGCGTGACTGTGTCCTGAAAATGACTTAAAACAGCAGGAGACTTACTCCTTTGGCACATTCAGAGCCAGGCTGGCTATTTTTAGCTGTAGAAGCTGCAACAGCCTTCTGCTTGCATTAACTCTGTGTTAGCTGCAGCACATTCCAGGTGGCATTTCCCAGGCACAGCATCCCTGGCCTGCTTACCTTGCCAAGGGTTTAGATGACCAGCTCTTGGAGCTTTCTAAAGCCACTTCAGCTGTGTGTGTAGCATGGATGACCTCAGGCTGGATTTACAGGGATGTCTGGAGGCTGCAGCCTGCTGTGCCATGGGGACACCATGCCGTGGAGGCTTTCCCTTGGCTGTCTCCTCTCCAGCATTTCTTGGGAATGCAGTCCTCATTCCTGGTGGCTTAGGTCTGAGCCCAGGCCTCACAGCTGATGCTGGCTGAGCAGCGAGTGCCTGTCCACTGGCTGGGCTGGCTCCAACCCAGCTACAGGCAGCAGATCTGTAATTGCCTGTTTCCCTTCTCTTTGGCCCCAGCTGATTGTGGAGCAGCAGGATGAGCAGTTGGAGCTGGTCTCTGGCAGCATCGGGGTGCTGAAGAACATGTCCCAGCGCATTGGCGGGGAGCTGGAAGAGCAAGCAGTGTAAGTGTGAGACATGTGGCAAAAACCTGGCATGGAGCTGGCTGCAACATGGCTGTATGTCCTCACACACCTATCTCTGCCTCTGGTACAGCCTGGAATTTTCACTGGTCCCTCAGGCAGCCTCTCCCTGCCAGCCTGTGGAAAGCATTTTGTACTGCAGTCTGCAAGGATCCAACTGCAACCTCTTTCCTTTAGAAGCCTTCATCTAGGGCAGGTTTAACTGCCACCTTACCTTTCCTCCTCTGTTTTTCACATGCTTCCCCTCAGGCAGCCAGCAGATGAGGGAAGGAGGTGCTGTGCAATGCAGATACTGGCCACTTATCCCCTCTACAGGGTTTTGTGCTGGCCCTGGACAGCTGCTGGGGCCAGGAGCTCTCAGCTCTGAAACAGCACAGAGCTGCTCTTCATCACTGAGGTTAAAAATAACCCTCACCCACGCAAAGGGTTAAAGGGCAGCTCGCAAAGTCATTTTGCATCCATCCATTTACATATAAATTAGATTTCTTTCCCAGTTCTTGTCCTTTGCAAACAAGTTCCCAGTTGTGCAGGCTAACAGCTATGCTTCCAGAAAGGCTTGAAGGGTTCATGGCTAAAACCCCCTCCTTGTCTGGCTGGTAGGAGTCTGGAGGGCCATGTCCCTTGTGAAGTGATTTCATCTTTGATGGAGAGGAGGAACTTTCAACCTGCCTCCTGTGTGAAGTTATGCAGCATGAAAATCCTCTGCTCTCACAGAGGAAATTAGTGTGGCGTGTCTGTTTCTAGATCATCACACAAGCCATCAGTGCTTGCTAGATTAGCTCATAACTACCACAGTGAGGTTCTCCCCACTGAATGAAGGTTTAACAAGTGCCCTGGCACTCCAAATGAAGAAGTCTGTCCTTTTAAATGCATTAAGCTTTAAAGTCCCACTGGCTGGAGACAATTGGATTGGTACCTTGACTCTGGATGCGCACTGGCATTGACAAAGCATGGATTCAGGAAGGCTTTCAGATTCATTACAGTCATTGTGTGGAGGAAGTAAAAGGGTAACTTCCATGCAGAGCTTGAAAAGCACCTTAAAAGCAACTGCAGATCTCATTCCCACTTGATCGATGACTGAAACAAGATTTTAAACTGCAAGCCCTGAACAAGAGAAGAGATTTAAAGTCCAGGCTGACATAGATCTAACCAGTGTCTGCTAATCACAGATTATAAATGGAAATTATAAATTTCCTTTTGTAAGGAGGAAGCCCACGCCCCCCCTCTCCTCACCTTGCAGATGTGTGTAGAGTTCAGCCACAAACACACAGGGAGGATCAGCCTGGCAGGAATCCCAAGTTACTTCCCACCAAAGCAGAGTTTCTGTTTCAGCAGGTTTTCTCCCCTCCCTTGGATGCTTCCAGGAGAGGAGAGGAGGCCACATTAATTTTGGCTGCCAAGGTGTGACACTCTGCTCGCATCAGTGTTTTGATCCATGTGTGTGAGCAGAACCCCCAAGGGATGTGCCACGTGCTGACCAGTGCCCCACTTCTGTGTCCTCAGGATGCTGGATGACTTCTCCCACGAGTTAGACAGCACTCAGTCGCGCCTTGATAACGTCATGAAGAAACTCGCCAAAGTGTCTCACATGACGAGTGGTAGGTCCTGGGAAGTGGGATCCAGTCCTGGAAAGGGAGAGACAAGCCCTTGGATCTTCAGGCTGGGACTCTGTGCTCCCACCCACCCTGCCCAGGGGAGGGAGCAGCTCTCAGTTCTTGAGAGAAGGAGAAGGCAGAAGGCTTCCAAGCCCGGCAGCTGCTCCTGCCCAGACACTGCTCTGCTGCCTGTCCCCTTGCCTTTGTTTTATTTACAGATGCCTTTCTATTTATGCTGCTACTGCTGGGAAAATCCCCCTCTAGCTGATGGGAGGGGGAGCTCTACAGCCTCCTGCTCTGCTGCAGTTTCCCAGGCTGCCTGTGGAACAAAAGCTGTCAAGGTGTCATTAAACACCGGCCACCGTGTGTGGTTTCCCCGAACCAGAATGCCTGCGGCAATCCCCTTCCCAAATCCCACCTGCCCTGGGGCTGCTGGCGCCTGCAGGCCTGTTGTCGGTCACATCTCTCTGAGTTGGTAGAGGAAAGAGCTGAATTCTGTGCTGAACCCACAGAAAAGTCCTTATAAGGCTGTGGGCAGAGCAAACAGGAAGCCCGGCCTGGCTGCTGGGAAGTCCCGTGGTGCCGGCTGTCTCCGAGTGTGGCACCGTGCCCAGCCAGCACCTCCTCCAGCACCCCTCTCCCCTGGGTGCTCAGGACCTTGGGAAGGCAGCAGCCTGGCAGGAGGAAAAGCATTCCCACTCTGCTGGATTAGGCTGTCCGAGGGATTTATGAGATGGTGGGAATACTGCCCTAGAGAGACCTCTTGGAGTGCTGACAGTGCAATTGGGGTCACCAGTAGCTCAGCAGCAGCACAACCATGGGTGAACCGTGTCTCTGCCCTTTCCTCTGGGAAAACACATGGATTTCTGCAGTGTTTCTGAGTGTTGTGAAAGAGCATTTCTGCTGGAATCACCTATGCCAGGGAGAGCAGGAGGGCTTTTTCTGGGGTAGTGCTGTGCCTAGGAGTTGAGGGGGTGCCCGCAGCCCTGTCCCCACTGCTGCATCATCCTCACTCAGAGGTGTTGTGGTGTTGAGCCAACGAGGTGTCAGGATGTCCAGAGAAACCTGATTCCTGGCCCTGTCCTAAGGGAAGCCGCCACAATCTCTTCCTGGCAGAGTTCCTCAGGGCAGCTTTCACTGGATCCCTTCTTGTTTCTCTGGCAAACACTTAACTCCATGAATGAACAGCAAACACAGCAGCTCTCTGCTTGTTCCTCCCAACTGCTTTTGAGCCAGCTTTTCAAAGCTGTTTGAACTTGGCTGGGCAGAAGCCTCAGAATTCCCACAGCTGTTCCCAAACCCCAATGTATCCTGGAGGAGAATGCCTCACTGCAATATACAGTACCACAGCCTTTCTCCCACAGGAGCTGTCGTTCTGGCTTTTTGTGGCTTAAGCTTGAATTTAGTTCCTAAGAGTACATGGAGAAAAATTCTGCCCCAGTATTCCTTTCTGCACTAAAGCAGGAAGACTGATGCTTCCTTTTCTTTCCAGATCGACGGCAGTGGTGTGCAATTGTTGTCCTCTTCGTCATCTTGCTAGTGGTGCTCATCCTGTTTTTTGTCCTGTGATGACAAAAACTGAACTTCCTGGGACGCCCCCTCCCCGCCCCCTCGCCCCGGCAGCGCGGGGAAATGAAACTCTCCCCGTTTCCGTCCGCCCACAGAGATCCCCAGCTCTCACCATCCTCCTCCAAGGACTGCGGCTCGGCTGCGCCGGCATCTCCCCTGGCCCCGGGGCGAGGGGGTGGAGGGCTGGAGCCGCCTCCTCCCGTGCTGCGGTGCACTCTGGACCCGGGCTCCGGGTCTGGACCCACGGAGCTGGAGGGGGACCCGAGCCCCGCGCTTCCACGCGGTGCAGGTAGGAGCCGGTGGGAGGTGGACACAGAGCAGCGAGCCCTGGGGAGGAATTACTGAATTCACTGAGCATTACAAACTGCATTGCCAGTGCCAGCCCCAAGCATTACTGGGAAGGGTGAAACCCTCCGAGCTACGGCAAGGGAGGGGAGCCCTGGCCCTGCTCCCCCTGCCCCTCCCTGCCTCCTGTGGGCGGGCTCTGTAGCACCAATTCACTGCCAAGAGAGAGAGCACGATGAGTCCTACCAGAGCTTTCCTACCCTCTGCAGTGGGCAGGGGGCAGAGCTGTAGGGTTTTTTGTCCTGCCATCAGCCACCCAGGCCCCGTCAGACACCCCAGAGCTTCAGCCCTGGGGTGCTGCACACCGAACGCTGGCAATCAGCCGTGAGCCAGAGAGGAAGAGTCTTGAAGCTTTTGAACTTGCCTCCCTCATTATACAGGCCTCTAAAGCTCGTTGACTGATGCTTTCTTTGCCCTTGTATAACTGAGTCACTGCTTCTGTTTAACAGCTGCTTCCCTTTGGCAAGTGATTTGTCAGGTCTAAAATAACTTATTTTTTTTAAGAAAAAAAAAAACTTTAAAGATTTTTTTGATGAGCATTAGAGCCATGTTCTCTCTGTGGGTGCACAACACACAGGATCAGAGGAACAGTGCTCAGTGGTGTATTTTAAGTGTATATGAACTTGTAAATAGGATGTCTTAATTTTTCCCAACCCCTATTTTTTGGACACCTCTGTTGTAAGCAACCAAAAGGTGCAGGAGATTCATAGCTAGATCACGTTTGTGTATTCCTTCCCAGTCCTTTCGTTACCTCCCAGTTGTTTGTCTCAGCAGTACCAAATCTGTGGTGAAAAAAGCTCACCTGGGAGTGTCACTGCTGAGGAAGAGGCAGAGGGGCCGTGCTGCCAGCACCGATTGTGGGATAGGGGGTGGCTCTTGAGGAAAGCAAAAACGGTTCCTTACTCCAGTCTGCTCCCATATTTTAAGTTGCAAACATGAAAAGACTCAGCACAGGCTGGCTTATGGCTCCCAGATGGGGCTGGGGGAGGAAGTTAATTGGCGCTGACGCAAAGACTTCTGCTGAAATTGCAAATCGCCCCCAAAATCATCCTCCCCCAGCCCCCCCCCCCCCCC